GTGTGTGTGTGTGTGTGTGTGTGTGTGTGTGTGCGGGAAGGGGGGAGGCATTAACCGCCACCCCGCTGCACTTGTTGTCCCCTCAGCTGCCGGCTTTTTCTTTCATCCGGTCTGCTCTCAGCCTGCACGCCTTTTAGTCTACCCACCCATCTTCCCTTCTCCCTTCACTGTCACACAAGAAGTGAAACCTTTTTCTCCTCAGTCAAGGTTCTCCACATGAACAATTAAAGCTGAACAAGGGTGTAACTTTGCCGGCATTTCATACAATACCGTCTGAGGTTGATGATGTAAGATCCTTGCTGAAAGTCAAAGATAATTGTAGCACTTACAAAGAATAGGTGAATGAAAAAAGGAAGCCAAAGAAGGAGAGAGTGTGTGTGTGTGTGTGTGTGTGTGTGTGTGTGTGTGTGTGTGCCTTTGTTTGTTCACGTCACCAGTGGCATGAATCATCACATACTCTATGTACATATTACACCTCTGTTGGTTGTTTAACGCCCTGTCCAGGAATTATAATCCTGCCGGGCTTCCACTGGTTGATGAAATCGGGTTCTGTGTGTATTTGCAGTGTGTGTGTGTGTGTGTGTGTGTGTGTGCGCACGCACTGCCTGTGGTGGCACTGGTTAGTGGGCTACCACACCCATTGTCCAAGGTAATTACAATGACTCGGGCCATCTGTGTTGTAGAGGCAGAGACCAGAAGAAACCGGTGTGTGTATCAGTGCTGAGTGGATGGCATGCAGTTACACCACTGGATAAAACAAAGTTTATCGGGTTTTTGACCTTCTTGAGCCACTGTACATTACCTTGTAGTTGCGATTGTTTGGCACTGATCTCAGTGACGTCGTCAATTATTCGTTGGGATATCTCATCTGTCAGCTCACATATGATAAAGAGTGGAGACGATGGGGGGTGGGTAAGGCTTTCAATCTATTGGGGAGATATCTGGAGATGTTCACACCCACACCCACCCAACTGCAAGGGTTCACATACACACAAACACCCCAGTGACAAAATCTCCGCTCTCCCTTTCATTCTCTCTGTCTTTCTCTGCGGAGCGTCTGTCTGTCACTCTGATTAGGAACGGACAGAGTCACATAAAGCACGGAGGGGATGAAAAAGGGCGGGATGGGAGATAGAGGGAGTTACAGATGATGTGGAACCAATAGGACAAGGCTCTTCTGTGATACACTCTAATTGTCAAACACATCATCAAGTTCACTCGCCAAGATCCAGCCGGATCTAATTTAATGGCATAATATATGAGAATCTTTTTAAATGAAATGTGCAACACACTGGACGTATGTGAAATGTATCTTCTCTTACTCTGCAGAACAAAAAAAATCAAATATCAAACACAGAAATGGTCCACGACCTGATCATTCTGATCAGGCATTTCCTGTACACAAATAGCATATCTTTCAAAAGATGCAACTTTTTAAAGAATATGTAAAGGTGAACTGCGTTAAAGAGTTTATAGTAGAAAGATGACAGGGCAGAGTGAAATTCACATTCAACAAAGGTCTCTGCCCCAAGGAGCCTTAAATACTGCTTTATTAAATATGACATATGCCAAAGTGTGCAAAAGAAATTATTTTGTATTGAGGTTACATTTGCCTGCCATGATAATGGCTAAGTTGCATAAAATTTTGTTTTTTTTGAATACCCAAAAATCTATTGACTACGCGTTCAAGTCCTAATGACAATCCCTATGATAACTTTATTAAAAGGGAACACACTGCAAAGGTGTCATCTGTTACAAAATACACTAAAACAACAACAGGCAGCACTGTCATTAACACTTTTTCAATATGATGAAATCACGAACGTTTCTTTATAGTTTTATGAGCACAATCAATGTGATTCAACAGTAAATAAAAAAAAAATGTAAAAGCTTTTGACTGCAGTGAATATACATTTGTGGCCAAAATAGATGAAAATGGAAAATTACACTGAAAATGTTTTCACACCTTCAACTCGTGAGTCCATCAACCTTGAGCTTGTAGCTCATACAATAATGACCCGAGGAGAGAAAATGAGTGGTGAGTGTGAGGGAGGCAAAGAGAGAGCAGGCATGGAGAGGTGGCAGAGGATGGAGCTGGGGGAAGGAATAGAAGAGGTGTGAGAGGGAGGGAAGGTGGACGGACGTATGGATGGATGAGTGGTAAAAGACGACGTAGTCTGCAAACAGTCAGAGTGGCTGCAAAGTAAAGAGGGAATGGGGGAGAGAAAACAGGAGAGGTGGATAAACAGTGAGGGAGGAGGAGGAGGACAGAGGGAGGGTGCTGAGTGAAGCACCGTGTTCAGAATGTTCTGTGCTGTAGATTTGTCTGTAAATGTCATCTCCTGTGCTTGAGTAACAATAGAGCACGCTCACACAAGTCACAGACAGGCAAAGTTATAAATACACACAGAAATATCAAAGAGGCGAAGCCATTTGTCCACCCTGCACTTAATCTCTAAATCACTTTTTTTTTTCTCTCTCTCTCTCTCTCTCTCTCTCTCGCTCTCTCTCTCTCTCTCTCTCTCTCTCCCCTCCTCCTCCCTCTGGAGCGGTTTGTCTTGGCCTCTCTTTGATTTCCTCTCTCTCATCTCCCACTCCGTGTGAAGAGCCGGGGGGGCGCTGAAGAGCTCTTCACCTCAACCAGAAACGCAGACGTCGGAAAAAGGGGGAGATTAGAGATATATTGAGGGTGCATGCCACAGTAACAAACAGAGAAAGAAAGGAATAGTGCAACTATCTTGTTCCCAGCAGTTGTCGCGTGAGAAAAATGTCACACGGGTGTGTGCAGTGGTTTTACTGCTCTGAAGAAGACGACAGGACAGCTGTTTCCCTGAATGTGAAGGCTCAGCATCCCATTTTTTCCTTCTCTTTAAGTCCAGTTTGTTATCAGGCAGAGCAGAGTGGGTTTCCTGAGCCTGTCACAAGAGAATGGCCAGCGGAGGGAGGAGAAATCCTGTTTGTAAATCACACTACAGGGACGTTGCTGCTGTCAGAGGACTTTGTTTATTTTGTTTTACTACTGCTGTCTTATCCTGTTGACAAGGCAGGGCAGTGGTGTGTATCGCTGATGTTACAACAGGGTAAAAAACACATAAAGCCTCCATCCGCTGCACCAGGTGCCAATGTACAAGAAGGCAAAAGAGGAGATTCACTTCACCTCCCATGTATGACGCCTCACCCACTGATATGCACTTATTGATAACACGTGGCGGGTTCATATCAGCGCTACATCACAAGGAAGCAGACGGTCAGGGTGTTCGAGGTGACAGGAAACCGGTCTGGGCATGACACCTGTCTTCACAATCAAACCAGCCATGCTGAACATCTGATCAATGAAAGAGTTACATATATAACATGAAAGGGTGTCATGTGCGCTTTGAAGCACTTGATATGCATACACACAGCATATGCTAATGCACGGTCTGGGTCATTGTACATGTGTGTGTTTTGATTGCGAGCTAAAGGCCAGATACAGTTGGCTGCGCCTTAAAAAAAAAGAAAGAGGAAAAAGGAGATATTGCTACATGAGAAACTGGCAACAGAACAGGATGCAGGTTCATATTCAAATCAACCACAATCTTTTGGTGTTTTTTCTTTTTCTTTGAATCTACATTTAATCTACGTATTCGAGGAGAAATTCAAAAAATGGTAAAAGGTTTGCTGCTGTGGGTGCTAAACCAAAAACAGTGCTGACTGTGGAGAAAGTAGTACAATTAATTAGTTAAGTATAGTTTTGTACTTTCCCTTTACATCAGATTTTGTTTTCCACATTTTGGAGTTTTACTCAATTAAATTATTTTACAATTTCTTGAAATAAAGAATGTCCAGCTCCCAGATGTCTTAAAAGTAAATAAAAAAGGCGCATTCTTGTTTAGTTTAGTTAATTTAATAAAAAGCCAATTAATACTCTATACATGGGGGTTAAATTATACTTAAAGTGGAATACTTAAGTGTTATTCTTGTGTCTTGAACACAGTCAAGTTCAAATTCAAAGAAGCTTATTGGCATGAGCATATTGAAAGACAATTTTGCCAAACACAAAGTAGGCCTACAAGGTGGTATAAACAGGGAAAAGTACAGAACTTTGTGTCCAAATAGTTATAAACCTCTGACTTTTAACTTTGGAGACGTGTGTGCTAACCACTGGGTCCCAATGTCAACTGACAACTGTGGGTCTAAACTGAGACCACAGCAAAGCTGGAACAAATGATTATTTGGATTAATGATCTATCTGTATGTTGTATTTTTCAATTAATTCATTAAAATGTTGGTTCTATAAAATGTCCCACCATGAAAATGGTGAAAAATGTCCATCATAATTTTCTGTCTCTAGCCTAATGGGTTAATTGACTGATTGTTGATATGGAGAACAGCAGAAGATGTTACCTTCTCTGTGTTTTAAACATAGATCTTGAATTCACTTTTTGCATATTAGACAATGATTGGCTTCCAAATTGGTTGTGATGCCACGAAACCATGCTTTCCTTTCAGCAGATGCATGTGAAACCAGCTTTCAAAACACACATTATTCACAGTGAAGAACAAACAGTATTTTTGAGTGAAGATGGATTTTAAGTAGAAAACTGAATGCATTTCTTGTTTTTAGTATTCTTCTGAGTAAGTTAAATTTCCGGTTTTGCAGTGTAAATCACTGAATGAGGCTTTCATATTTAATTTACCATTTTAATAAGTGTAATTATCCTGATATGAAAGGGCCTAATTAGAGCCGTAACCCCCCGATTGACGCAAATGGACACCGTGAGCCACCATCGCGCCTCTCTCGAGTCGTAGGATTCGGATGTGATGTCACCACGGCAGCGGTGCTGTGGCGGCGGTCTCCAAGCAACGCCGCGTGCTGCAATGACGCCAGCCCAGGCCCCCGGCTCGTGGTGAGTGGGCGTGACTCGCCACGTTAGTCCCCCCTCCCTTTCTCCCCCGTCAGAGTGGGCGGGCCCTGTTCAGAAGAGAGCGAACGAAACACGACACCGCGAGGACGGAGAGACTCACGGGGGGGAGGAGAGAGAGTAGCATTGAATGGTGCGCGAGAGAGTGGAGGACTTAAAAAAAAAAAGTCTGTAAAGAAAAGAGAGAGGTTCCTCTTTAACGGTCATTTCTTGTCAAAAGAACAAAGCTTTTTTTTTGCGGCGGAGAAGATGTCAAACAGTGACGAGGATGCGGTTGAGACGGAGTAAATAGCGACCGGGACAGTTAGCGAAATAACTTGATACAAAAAAGAAAGAAGAAGAAGAAGAAGAAAAAGGCTTTTTCGTGCTGGGGTCGAGTCGGGACGGTGGCTCGTGTTCCGCTGCAACTTCAGCAGATTTGGTTGGTTACGGGACGAAAAGCTCCGGACCAGCAGCGAGGTCTCGACCGCTGGGCTCGGTGGAAAGCACGGTCGGTGTGGTCGGAGAAACGGACCCGAGAACAGCCGCCGAAGCACACAGCTACTAAAGTTTGCAGCGTATCTTCACCTAGTTTTCCAGCTCGGGAGGAAGAGGCCGAGACACTGACTTTTTTTTCTTTCCACACGCAACTTTGCGGAATTCATCCTGTGTTAGCAAAACTTTAAGCTCAAGTAGCGCAAGTCAAAGCAGAAGACATGAAAACACCTGGAGACAACGGTAAGTTCTCGTGACTCTCGCTGTGTCTTTCCACCATTGTCTCTGTTGTTTACTTGCAGTAACTGTATCGCTGATTAAGGAGCAAGCCTAAACAAACCTGTTGATTTTGTCTGTTCTCTGGATCAGTGCAATGGTCCGTGTGGTTTGTGCTCTGACGTTAGATAAGATACTGAAATCTGGTGCATGTTTAGTACTGTACTCCTTGTTCAAGAGGAAGTGGTTGAACTACTGTATACTTATTACAGCGACGTCCTTCTGTGTCACACTGACAACCCTAATTTCACCATGCACACCTTTCAGAGAACTGACTGGAAAAAATCCTAGAAGGACCATGAGAGTGAGAAAGAGAGAGGTGGACGTGTTGATACGTTACTCAGACTCTTCCACTCCTGGTGGAGGTGTTGGGGGTGATTTAATCTAGTTATACTCTGATATTAACTCAGTAACTCAGCAAACATTTGCCAGGTACTTGTCCTGTCAGCATATTGAAGTGAGAGGGGGGTTTCCAGTAGTCAGCTGAGGTTATGTGTGTGTGTGTGTGTGTGTGTCTTACTGTCTTAATTCCTGAAATGCTTGCATAAGTTAGTTCTTGCTCCCTTCTCATGAAGCTCTTTTCTTTAAAAAAATGAGGAAGTGGATGTGCTATAATTTCAGTTATCAGTTTCTAAACTGCCTGACGTGACCCTTTCTGTTAGTTGCAGAACTAAATGATTTTTACTTTAATCTCAAGAGACCCAGTGGATAACATCTGGAAGTATATATAACAATCATTTGTTGTCTATGGGCCCTGTGTGTAAAGCAAAATATACATATTTGATAGGTTGTTGTTCCTGTGGGAACACTGGGATGACTTCCTCAGCAGTTACTGGTGAGCATTTGGCATCGGGAAGTGTGAGTGAGGGACAAACTGTGTGGGACCCTTTTTCCACTTGGGACGTTCCCCTCCCATCCCCCACCCTGTCCCCTCCTGACTCCCGCTGCACCCAGCCTCAGCCCCTCAACCCTCCACATTCCTGCACACACACACACACACACACACACGCACACGCACGCACACTCCTTACAAGCAGCCCCGAGGAGGCTGCCATGACATCACACCACATCCCACCACAAGTAGCCCTTTATTATAAGGAACTCAGCGTTTGTGTGGCAGCAGATAGCTTATAAGCCCTTCAGGGGAGGATACTAAAAATTGATTGTGCTTTAGGTTATGGCTTTGATGTAATGCTGTCGGTGTGTTTGAGTAGTAGGTTGGTTGTGTTTGTCATCTATTGAGTAAAGATAAAGAACATTAGCTGGACCTACTATAGTGTGATTGGTGTGCTGCTGTCCTACCAGTCTTATTTAACTTTATTGATAGGGACTTTGAGTCTTGATGACTTTATTGATTATTCGTTTGTTCTGTAGTAAGTCAGAATACAGTGAAAAATCCCCTTCAAAATTTCCTTCACCCAACGGTGACAGTTTAAAATCCAAAGCTATACTGGATAATACTTGTGCACAGTATACTTTAATTTAAGACAATGAAACATTTAAGAAATTGGAGCCAGCAAAGATTGTGACGGTTTAAGTTTCATCAAACTATTTGTCAGTCATCATAATGAAATTATCCGTTGGATAAACAATTGATTAATCCTTTCAGCACTGGTTGGTAAACAACTCATTATCTAACAACAAATCTGATTTTATAACGGCACCTTTAAAAAGCTAAATTATGGAACGGGTTAATCCGCGGAGCTGCTCTCCTGCTCCAGTTGCATTTAGGACGCACGTTTGAACCTTTAACTTGTGTAGATCTCATGATTTTGAAGTTAATATATTTCTTTGAATGCAGAAGAGAGATAACAGAGCCTCGATGTATATGTAGGATAAAGAATGTAATCATCCCTTCCTGGTATGTTTCATGATGTAGGATTATGTCCCACACGGTAAGCCGCCTCTGTGCGCAGTTTACCTCATTCCTCTCCATCACTGGACACTTCCCCGTGCACTTCTGTTTTTCCACGGTCACTTCATTAGTCTGGATAGATGATAGGATTTCTGCTGAGATAACAGAATTGATATGATGAAGCAGGAAGTGGTGGGGCTGTAGCTGCATCTGCTGCTGCTGCCATGTTGGTGTTGGTTTTGTGGGCATTGGGAAGTAATCATTTTATTTTCTTTCAACTGAATCACTGCTGTTTACCTGGTCTTTGTTAGTGTTTGGTATAGTTTGGGGTACTGAGAGCTGGTCGAGTGCAGTATTAGACTTTAACTGTCATACATCCACATTTTCATTTACTTCAAACGCTGTGCTAATGATTGATTAAGCTTTAGTGATAAGGACATACATTTACAATATTAACTTGCCTACTGTACGTCCCTCCCACTATAATATTTTATCTACACTCCTGCCACACACACACTTTGCACTTTACTTTGAGTTGCACCCGTTTTCTTCCATCCCTCCCCAAGAGTTACAATTTTTCTCTTCTGCCACCGCTGTCGTTCTTTTCTCTCTCTTACGGGATAAGGACTGGTGTGTGTCTTTGTGTGATGGAATTGCATAGTGGGACCCCTGGCTCTGGAGTGGCCATTGTGTGTGTGTGTGTGTGTGTGTGGAGTGTGGGACAATGGTGGGAGTGGGGCAGGCCTTGGGGCCGATTGTGTGTGGACTTGTGGGGCCAGGGACCTCTCATTGTACTCATAATGGTGCGGAGTAGCTCATAGTTTGGTGGTGCCTTTGACCAGTGAAGAGACCGCACTTGTGTGTGTGTGTGTGTGTGTGTGTGTGTGTGTGTGTGTGTGTGTGT